GAGCGGACCCTGAACGCCCGCGTGCACCGCGAGCCGCAGCTGGCACTGAAGTTCGAGATCACGCGAAACAACCACATGCAGGACATCGAGGGCCGCCCTTACACTGAGACAGTCATGTTCAAGGACCCCCCGAAACGGCATCGCGCGGCGGCGCGGCGCGTGCTCTTGCACGCCGTCAAGGGCCGGGAGCTCCTCCCACAGCGTGCCCGCGACTACTGCAAGGCCTGCCTGACGAGACACGGCAACAGGGAGGTCGACGCGCTGCCAGAGGGCCTGGACGGGGGCCCAGCTGGAGCCAGGCTTTGCCAGCTCTGCGGGGGCGGAGGCCTCAGCGAGTCAGGGTGGCCAGGGGGTCCGCTTGAGCCAGGCTTTGCCAGTTCTGCGGGGGTGGGGGCCTCAGCGAGTCAGGGTGGCCAGGGGGTTCCGCTCGAGCCAAGCTTTGCCAGTTCCGCGGGGGGGGAGGGGGGGGGGGGGGGGCTCAATGAGTCAGGGTGGCACGACCGGGTCGCCTTCCAAGAAGAGCAAAGCGGCGAACTTGGCAACAGGGCGGAGTGACAGAGCGACGTTCTCGGGCGCGGCCCTACCGACCCCTACCAAACCGTGCCCTTTTTTTCAAAGAAGGCGGAAGTGCGCAAACACAGGGGGCGAATGAAATCCTTCCTGAGAGCGTCGCTCTCGCAAGACCGGGTCGCGGCCCCAGGGGCATGCGGAGAGACAACTAAATCGAGACGTTTTGGAAACCACTGCACCAGTCAAGCGCTTCGGGGACGAACATAAACGAAAGCGCCAGCGCGGGCAGAAGTCGCGACGACGGGCCGGCAGAAAGAACGACGCAAGATAAGGAGCACGGCCCAAGGACAGTCATCGGGGAACGTCAACGGCGCATGAAATCCACGCGCTGCCTTCGAATGGCGTGACCAACGGTGGCCGGCCAGAGCGACGCGTCTGCGCTGGCAAGGGCGTTCATCATTCAAAATGTCACGCCTCGGCCCTGCGCTGCGTAGCGCAACTCTTTCTTAATGCGAATCAGAGCTCCAAGGTGCGCGCGTGATGTCGGTGAGCCGAAACGCGCACTGAACCTGGGCGGCTAGGAAAAAACGCAACCACCCCCAAAACGAACATATCCCAACGAAGCAGTCGCATGCTTTGCGCGCGGTGAAGTACGACCGCCAGGGTTTGAACAGTCTTACAACATACCTGGCAAACCTTGAACGATTTCTCAAAAGTGATCGGCACACTCACGACACCAGAATTACCAATAAATCGTTTCGCTACTTCGGGAATTTGACAAAGGAACACCACGCCTTTTGTATATGGACGAGCAAGTGAAACGTCACCCACCCTGACGTACGCATACGCCTGCAGGGATGGCGAATCGAGCCAATGATGGCCCAAAGAGACGGTCCTCCTGTGGAGGGGTTTTGACAACGCGTGCCCGCTACATATCAGGAGCCTCGAAAGCGCACAAACAGACATATCATGGGATCCACACTTGGCTCTATCACAGAGCGCCCGTGTCTGCGTTGGCAAGTATGGCTCCGGCGCCGAACCAGGCGCATGAGTACGCGCGTGCTGCGCGACCAGGCTCACGCGCCCCATGAAAGACTGCGGACGTTTCAAGGCATTGGCCACGCATCCCCACAGACGCAACACAGCACGTTGCACATATTGAGGCAATGAGTTGCAAATGCTGGGAACCAATAGTATGCCGGGTGCAACATGCCAGCACATGCCGCACAAACCGCACGCGTAACCCCCATCCCTCCATTTCCGCCTGATATCCCGTCCACATATTTTATATATCCTTCCCTCCCCTGCCGCCCCCGTTCGTCCTCCCCCTCCCCACCCTCTCTCAACTTCCCCCTCCTCCGCCCCCCTCCTCCTCGACCCCTGGCCCAGCTCGCCCTCGCGGCGGAGCGCATTGTGCAGCGCGTCGCCAGGCGAGGGAACTAAGGGAGGGAGGGGGGAGGAAGGGGGGAGGGGGGGGGGAGAGAAGGGGGGGAAGGGAGACAGGGCGAAAGACGCACACAGGGAGGGGGGCGTGGGAGAGGAGCCAGAGGAGGTAGGAGAGATACGGGGGGAGCGGGGGAGGGAAGGAATGTCGGAGGCAGGGAAGGAGAGGAAGAAACGAGGGCAAGGGCGATGCGGGCGAGGGGAGCTAATGCGAGGGGGGAGGGATGGGAGGGAAGGGGCACTAGGGAGGGAGGGGGCGAGGAAAAGCGAGGAAAGCGGGGGGAGGAAAAGAGGGCAAGGAGGAGAGACAGAGAAGGTGGGGATGTTGTGAGGACAGCGGAGAAGTGGACAGAATGGAAAGAGGGAGATGGCGAGAGGCCAAAGTGAAGAGCAAGGGAAGAGCGGCGAGGGGACGGCGAGGGAGGGAGAGACACGAAGGAGTAAGGAAGGAGGAGAGGATGGCGGCGGAGTAACGGGGAGAAGATCGGGAAAGACCAGCCGGCCTGGACTCCCGCGGCACCTGCGACAAAACCTTGCCCTCCGCCCCCCAGCGAGGCCCAAACTGCACTCGCGCGGCTTGCGGGGGCCGCGCGACTGTCTTTTGGGGCTCGCCCGGGGCGGATCCCCGAATGAAAATTTCGAAAGTGTGGACCCGGAGCTCGTCGCGGTAGGGCATCATTTGGGCGCGCCCCAAACCGGAGGCTTCCGTGACGACCCCCCCCGGGACCCCCGCCCGTCTGTCTTGTTTCCCGACTTGTGCCTAAACCGGAGGCTTCCGTGACGAGCTCGGGGGGGCCCCGGGCGCAACCTAAACCGGAGGCTTCCGTGACGAGGGGGCGCCCAAACCGGAGGCTACCGTGACGACCCCCCCCCCGGAGGTTTCCTGGTCGGGGGCCCTCGGGGGGGCCCTCTCGGGGCCCTCCAGGCCATCCAATGCAATCTCGGAGGGCCTCAAGAGGGCTCCAAGAGAGCCTCAGGAGGGCCTCAAAATTTCAAATATATTGACAAACTTTGAAGCTCTCTTGGAACCGTCTTGAGCCCGCTCGAAGCCCTCCGGATCGCACTGGAAGGCCCTGGAGGGCCCCGGCAATGCTTCAAGAGGGCCCCTAGAGGGCCTCAAGACGGCCCTCAGCGAGCCCCACGAGGGCCCCAAGGGGGCCCAAGAGATGCCCAAGAGGGCCTCTTGTGCACGACCACTTGCGTATATGAACACTGCTGTCCATGACCACTCTCGTATTCAACTGCTATTGTATAGCACCCCTCCCTCCTGGCTCATCCCTTCACCCTCATCGCTCCTCCTGATGATCAGGGCAAGTCGCCTGGTGATTTTTTGGACGGACTGGCGGGGATACGCGGAGCGCCAACAATTTCTGGAAGCCTGCCCGAGGGCTCAAGGGAGCCCCAAGTGGGCCCCGTGAGGCCCACAAGAGGACCTCGGGAGAGCCCCGCCTGGACCCCAGGAAAATCCAAAGTTAGGACGCGCGCTGCATCCTGATTCAGGAATGTCTCGGGGCCCACTTGATGCCCCGTGGGGGCATTCTCCGGGACTTCCTGAAACCCGCCCGAAGCCGGAAGGAGCCCGTGTTGCCGAGAACTCGCTAATACGGCTTTAATAAAATCTAGTAACCCCCCAAGAGAGCCCCAAATCCAATATTCAACATGCTTTTTGGCTCTGGGCCATCTGGGGATCCATCCGGGGTCCTCCTGGAGCCCCCCTGGGGGTCTCCCCAAGGCCCACCCACAGCCCCCTCGAACCCATTGAGGGCCCCAAAGAACGCCCCAGAGGGCACCCATCAGAAGGGGTCCAAATACATGTATGTTTGGACGGCCCGCATCAGGATGCATGGTGCAACATGAGTTTGGGCCGTTGCGTGGGCCACGCCGGTGCCCTCTTGGAGCCGTCTTGGGCCGCGCTGGGGCTGTCCTGAAGCCCCGAGGATGCCCCGAGAGAACCCCGAGAGAGTCCCAAGGAGGCTCCTGCAAGCGACATTTGCATGCACACTTTTACGTCGTATTGTTTCCGCGTGCTCCCTTGAAGCAAGAGAGTAAGCTTTTCCTCGATGTGGCACGCATTGCCGTTTGCCCCACGGCGCGGCGTCGTGCTCAACAACAACGTCCCCCGCCATGCCATTGCGGTTGCATGATGCACCGTGCGCCTTGACCTGGGGCCTACTGGGGGTCGGCTTGGAGCCCTCTCGGAGCTCTTTTGGGGGCCTCAGAAGACCTTTTTTTCGGAGCCTCGCTGCGGCTTCGGGGGGGGGGCCTCGCCCAGCTCGCTCGAGGGAAACCGCGAGCTCCGGAGTCCGACCGCCAGCATCAATCGTCTGGCAACCCCCGCATATCCTAACATTCTCGGTAACCTAGGAAAGCGGGGCCCCGGGCGTCAGCCGAAATCGACGGCGAGTTGTTGTCAAATCCCTGCAATTTCCGCGAGGGGCCACTGTCGAGCATGGATTCTGAGACAAACACAAAACGCACGCGAGCGGTTAAGATGATCGAGTCAACAGTAGCACCGAAAAGCGTCAGCGGGCAATCATATGCTTCCTCTAGTTGCGAAGCCGCTCGCGCCCCAAGATGCAGATGCGATGGTGCCGCATCTGAAAACATTGTAGACGCACGCGCAATAATGGCAGCGATGCTCCCATTGCTCCTTCGCCAACTCCGCCAAACAAGCACGCATTCCGACTCGATCGAGGAAGCTGCGCGGCACACTTGCTGCACTTCATGACTTCTGTTTGCGAATTCCTTTGGGGCGGCGCCGGTCGTGCCCCGAGAGCGCTTCGCGCGTGGGCAATTCATTTTGCTCGAGTCTGCAGCCAACGCACGCGCGGACCGCATTGACCTCGAAAACGCAAAACTCGCTACGCAAGGGCATGGTTTGCTAGGGGTCGATTTGGCCGCCCCTGACGTTCCCGTTTCCTTGTCAGGGCGCCCCCGCGGCGCCCGGGGGCCTCGCGATCGCCCCTGCGGCGAAGGTGGAACGCGAGCCCACCGATGCGGCTGCGCTCAGGATCGCTCGACGCAGCCTCAGCGGGGCGGCGCGCCAGGCCTCCTGCCCGGAGGGCCTCAACTATTGCGAGGCCGGGGTCAAGGAGCTGAGAGCGTTCGAGCGGGACGGGAGACTAGCCTCGCTCCTCGGTGCCCGGGAGCTCCTGGTCAAGGGGCTCGAGCGCATCTCGGAAGTCCTGACTGCGGGGCGCGATTTGGACGGCAGCGAGCACGGGATGCTAGGTGCGGAGTTCCAACGCTTCCTGAAGATCGCGCAGGATGCGCGCATGCGGACCGACACCCTCCGCGAGGAGTTGGACGCGGCAGGGGGGCCAGCGCGCGGGGGGGAGGCGGCGGCAGGCGAAGCCCAGCGGCCGGGGCCAGGCTTTGCCAGCCCGACGACCCATGGGCAGAAGAGCGAGGGCGAAGAGGATGCGGAGAAGACGCTGCCAGGGGAGGACCCCGAAGCCGACCGGGGAGAAGATGCGGCGGACGTGGACCGGTTCGGGATCACGGCTGACCTGCAAGAGGAGACGGCCGGGGAGCCCGACGGGGACCCGGCCGCCGCCCGTGAGTCCAGGGAGGTCCGGCCGCACCCGGCGCGGAAGTTCTTTCAATCCCGGACTTCTTGAAGCTTGCGCAGGGCCGGCCGATGGCCAGTAACAGGGCCCTGGACGACCCTGGCCATCCGACCCGACTAAAGTTAGGAGGATCTTCTAAATATATAAGAGGTTTCCTAAAAATTTTGGAGGTTTCCGAATTCGTTGAAATCCTCTAAATATTTTGTAAGTTTTTGCTGATTTAAGAAATCCTCCAATTTTTTAGAGGGTCCTCTAAATCAGTAGTTCGTGAGGTGTGAACATCCAGCACGCACACGCGAAGCGTATGCTTCTCGAAGGCACCCACGGCGATTCATCGCCGCCCCCTGCCTTGTTTGGAAGCGCCTGCGTGGCTGAACTTTGGGCGAAAGCTTGCTTATACGATTGGCCTACGTGTTCCCAGAGTCGCGGGAAGTCTTCGGGGCACGCACGGGGGGGAGGAGGTGGAGGAGGAGGAGGAGGAGGGGGAGGAGGAGGAGGAGGAGGAGGAGGAGGAGGAGGGGGGGGAGGAGGAGGAGGAGGGGAAGGAGGGGGAGGAGGAGGAAGAGAGGGGGAGGAGGGGGGGAGGGAGAAGGAGGAGGAGGAGGAAGAGGAGGAGGAAGCAGAGGAGGAAGCGGAGGAGGAGGAGGAGCAGGAGGAGGAGGAGGAGGATGAGGAAGAGAGGGAGGAGCAGGAGGAGAAAAACAGGACCGCCCGCCCCCTGCCGCCAGGCACCGCAACTGCAACCGCCCACAACGGGCACTTTGTGTTTTTAAAGGCAGTTTTGGAGGCAGTTTTGAGGACTGCAGCCTTTTGTTCGAGGCAGTTTGGGGGGCAGTTTTGAAAACTACAGCTGTTAGGGAACTCACGCGAAGCGTTGCTTGATTGGCTGTGCGTTACGCGAAGCGTTGATGATGCTGCTGGTGTTTTTGCTCTCACGCACTGGCTCTCATAGCCTGTACTTTTCGATTGCCGATCGATGGATAAATCTACAATGCTGCATGGAGTCTTCCACCGTATCAACGCAGATGCCAATAGCATCCTCATCTAAATAATTCCAGCTTGTGTTCGGGGACCCGTGATTCGGGAAATCCTCTTCTGCGAGGTGCACAAATAAATGATGTTTGGGGTGCATACGGTAAGCTTCCCAGAAACGCTTGCGCCTCCCTGGGTGCAAAGACAGTTGCCCATACAGCACGACATGCTGTCTGGCAAGTATTCCTAGCTTAACTCGAACCGATTCCGACGGAACCTTGACCTCTTGATAAAAATCGCACAGTGCCTCCAAGCAGTGAAAGCAAAGCATGTCGTATTCATTCTGAGGCTTGAATATTTGTGTCAACAGAAACTTGAGAATACTAACCATCATCCTGGATTTTGCAGCTTTCAACTTGAGCTTCAAATACCTGCTCTTTTCTGGCTTCAGCATACCGAGGGTAAGACTCGTGAATGGAAATGCAGCGTGGCCTAACCGATGGCACGCATGCTTGATCATAATCGTGAGCTCAGCCAAGGCAGGAGCTGGATTTGTCATTTTCCCGTTCATGCCAAGAAATAGCTCCAGCAAAATGTTGGCGCAAAAGTATTGGACAATTCCCAAGTCACCCACGTGCATCAAGTCTAAAACAATATTGCACAATTGAATTCCTGGGATGCTCCAGAATGCAGAAATGCATCTGCCATTCGAAATCGAATATTCAACGAACTGTTTGTGTGACAACATAGTTGAGCGCCACTTGGCCTCCTTGCTCGCGTCTGTGTAGGGGCAAGCGGAGTCGTGATTTTTTTCGGCGCAGCACCTGAAACACATCCTTTTGTTTTCGCCCTCGCCCTGCCAACCGTGCAAGCCAATCACTTTTTTGAGCCAGTCCCAATCGAACCTTCCTTGAAGGACGCACCCTCGCCTCAGAAATGTTCTCTCCTGAAGGGGCCTGGCTGCCAGCGCCGCACGAGCGCGATCGCCCCTGAAACGAGAGTGCTTGAACTCAGAGCCGTCGCGCCTGAATTTCGGGTGCTGTCCTGTCATCCACACTTGGAAACACCATGCCATCACACGCCACACGCTGTCGAACGTGCATCTCCCTTTGCACCCGCAATCGCAGAACAAACTACGAGGAATGACGCATGACCAATACCTGTGGTCTTTGTGGAGCGGCGCCAAACAATTCCACAACACCAGCATCAAACTGTCATTGTTGAAGGGCGCTTCGTCACCCCAAACACCACATGGAAGTCGGATGCGGGTCCTGGTTGGCCTACGCGCTTGAGCCAGTCATCTCTGGAATTGTGCAAAGGGGAGTTGCCGAGATCAGTCCATCCCGCTGGATCCTTACACTCAGAAAGAAACACTTCATGTGGCAGAAGGAAGTAAACAACATCGGTGGTTTTCTCGCGAGAGTCTGCATTCCACAAGCTGATCTCAGCTTCGTAAACCTCTGGGAGGGTCGATGCCTTTCGCAAATCTCGGATCACTCGTCTGTGAGCATTGTTTGGCTGAGAAGATTCTTGTGGCCCACCAGCAATCGCCCTAAGAGTTTCATAATCAGAGGCGGACATTTGACCACTCTTGAACTTTTTCTTGGCAAAATTCTCAACGCGATGCGCAACGAGCTGAGCGTCGGGATTCAGCTCATCGTATGCACGCGTCAGCGAAGCCTTACCCAAGCCTAAAGACTGGCGAATCCCACCACCAAGGCGAGCCATCAAAACTGAAATGGAAACATGGAGAAGTAGAACGTACATGATGGATCCAGGCTTGAGCCTTAATTGGCCACGGACGGAACCGAATGTGGTATCTGCAATTCCCCAATCGTGATGTTTGCGTTTGGTTATCTAGTGGTTTGCCTTTACTGTTGCTCAGAAGTTTGGGAGGCTGTTTTGGAGGCCTGATGGAGGAAGCTTTGGCGCCTCGTGTTTTTTTGGGGGGCCGCTCGGGGCCTCTTTCGGGCTTGTCGGTGGGGCTCCGCATAGAAGGGGTCATCTGCAATTCTCCAATTATGTTTCTTGCGCTTTGTTATCTCGGGGCTCAGTGGCTCAGTTTCGCGCCCGGCATCCTCCGGGCTGCCTGGATGAAGCAGGCAGAGGGAGGAGGGGTGGATAGCAACAGGGGGCAGCAGCAGCAGCGGCCGCAGAGGCTTCCAAGAGGGCCCCAAGCAGCACAGCGGTCCCCCCACAAGGCCCACATGGGGGCTGCAAGAGGCCCCCAAGTGGTCCGACGAGGACCCCAAAAGCTCCCCGAGGGCCGAAAAGGCCCCTAGGAGACGCCCAAGATGAAGTGAATGCCGATGGTGACGACGATGAAGACGATGAAATGAATGCCGATGGTGAATGACTAGCTGTGCCAAGACGGCGCCGTCGTGTCCAATAGGCACAACGAGAAAGCATTACGCCGTAATGCCCTGAAAGAGTGCGGAACGTTAGCACAACCCTGTAGCATGACCCACTTGAGCTACGCAGTTGCCGCCTCAGATTGCAGCCTCCGATAGCGAACTGCGATCAAGCCTTCTTGAGCTTCGTGAAATCTGCGAGCACATTCTTGCGGTAATCCTTGTAATCCTTTTCGACCTGGCCCATTTTCTCAGAGAGGAGATTGGTCTTCGTCGTGAATTCGGCCACGTCGGTGATGTCCAAACCCTTGTAGGCGGCCCACATCTCGAACAACGAGACCACTGCGTTTTTTTGCTCGGCCGTCTTGCCCTTCAAGTACTGCAGTGGGCCATCGCCCCATGTGCTGCCCATCTTCTCGCTGATCCGATTCTCGATGACGCTGACCTCGCCGAGCTCACGGTTGACCTTGTCGTACAGCGTTTTCACGGCCTTGAGTTTGTTCTTGAACAGGTCGGAGGCTTCGGCCAAGGCGTTCGTAGCTTCCTCCTTTGCGAGGGCATCTGGGTCGTCCGTCTTCGGCGGCGACTTGGGTTCCTCAGTAGGTTCTGTCTTGACGGTCCTCGCTTTCTTCTTTGCTTTCGGCACTTTGGGGACAACCTCGGAGGTGAAGTTCTGCATCATAGCTGTCACGTCCCCTGCCTCCTCCCCCGTCAACTCAACAGCATGTTCGATCTGAACCTTCTCAGTGAGGGTCTTCTCCCACTCGTCGCGCTCGTCGAAGATGATGTAGTACTCTTGTATGCCCTGGTCTGCAAGCAACTTCGACTTGTGCGCTCTCGCCGCGAACTCGCCCCCTTCGCACCGAATCTTGGCAAACTCCACGTTGTTGATGCCCTTGGGGCCACCGTGCTCGCTGATCGTCATCAACTGGCCCTTCCCTGACTCCTTGCGCTTGCTGGTCCGCGACGTGCTGTTGGTAGCGATGCAACTCCCGCCGCTGGCTGGGTCGATGGGGAATGCAGCCAGCCAGCTGCGGCGATCCTCGTCCAGAGCGAGCTTTGAATACTCGAGAAACTTGTCTGGGTGAGTCGTTTTGAGCACCGAGTTCAAAGCGCTGAACGCTCTCTGCCGAAGCTTCCGCTCGACCCCCCCCCCCGATCGAAGCCTCATTGACCTCAAGACCACCTACCGTAAGAGCGCGCTTGAGCTCCTCGCACGCCGAAGGAAGTTGATTTGGGTTCCTTTTGGGCGCCATGCTGACTGAAAGCGTGGCGCCGACCGCTGACTTCGCAAGATGTCGAGCCCGAATGGCCACTGATGACAGATGCGATGATGACGCAGAGCGTTGGCGAGTTGTCTACCGCATCGGACTTCGAAGTTCGGGGAGGCCACTGGGGGCCACCTGCAGGATGAGCGCTTTCAGAAGGTTCCCTAGATGGCCCAGGAGAAAATCACGAGGATGCCGACGCGTGAACGAGAGGGAGGGGCGACGAAACGGGGAGGATCATCGCCTAAACTTTGGGCCCAAAGCAGGCCATGATGATCCTCTGGAGCCCTGGCCCAGAAGCCGAGAGGTGAGGGGGACTTGCACGAGGAGGAGGAGGAGGAGGAGGATGCGCGTTCGCGCAGGAATTTCCAGGGGGCGACCGCTCCATGGAGGGCCCCTAAGGGCCCATGGACGGCCCCGAAGGGCCACTATGACTGGCGCTATGTCTGGCACATGTCTG